CATAAAAACACTGTGGGATGTTGGGATGCTATGTGCTAAGCTGTGACGCATGTACGTGGTAATTACTTATTATGTGAAATGTCTTGCACCCCCTCCCCCCTCCTGCGTGCCCATGCTCTAGGCAACCACTTCGCTTTTTAAGTTACTTTCATGTGTCGTGTGGGGCCTTAGCTTTGTATGTTATGGGTTAAACGCCCCTTCAAAACTGTAAGACTATATGAGAGGCAGTATCCAGAATGTGTGACTTCCAATTCTCATATTCTCGTACAAAGTAAGCCGAGAGCCTTCAACTTTACGGAAGCATTTCAAGTCTCCCCGTTGGGACTTCGAACTAAGATCACCCACAACATAATTCTGCATAGAACAACTGAGCCAACGACTCGGTCCAGTAGTAGAGCACGTCTTTAGAAAGAATGAAAAGACAACAAAACCAAAACACAATGGCTATCACTGACAAAAGGGCACTCCAAATCAAATGACCGCATGGAAGCGACAAAGCTTAACTACTGAAGAAACATTATTAACAGGACGAGCACTTTCAAATTAACGATGGCTGTGTCTCCGAACATAACGTCAGTAAGGGCGTAAGTCTTCAGATAGTGGTATGTCGGTGGTATGTTGCTGAAGAAAAAGAAAATTACTAAGTACACACGTTGAAGTTGAGAATATTTCTGAATAGTACAGGGGCTGTCGGGGTAATAATATATCGTAAAGCGCATAAGGCCTACTTTGGAGTATTGTACATACAAGACGTTTTTGTTCAACGAACAATATAACTTCATGTTCCACTTTTTATATATGTTCGATTCATTACAGATGATAAGTGTGTATTTATCTAACTGTCTGGCAGTATTATATACCTATACTTTGATATACATGTGTCGTATTTACATTGGTGACCCTTTTCTGCCTATTTCCTTTCTTTTTTTCTTCTTTAACTATTTAGGGACGTATCGAACACATTTGTCCGAACAGAAACAGATCAAAGCCAATGTTGTGGCTCATTTTGAACCTACATACACAAACCAGAAACACGAGATTTAACATTTTACAATAATCATCCTGAATTCTTTTTTTTTTTTTTCACTTTTTAGGGCTCAGAAAAAAAAATATATTGTTTAAAATCTAAATGGATAACGAAGTTTAGCTTCTTCAAATGTTCGAATAACCAGAGTTTGCGTCTTCAAGGAGTTAAACAAACCACTTGGTCAGGAAGAGATGTGCTTGCGATACAACCAACTTACCTATTTAACTACACCCCCCCACTTCCCAAAGCAACAGAAAACAAAACTGGAAACGAGTAAACAAACCCAATGGCAACTTTTTCTTTCAACGCCCCCCCCCCCCCATAAAACACCTTGGCAGAAAAAAAATGAAGTCCATTTATATTGTCTGGCTTTCTTTAAAAATGGTTTACGATAATATTCACAATTATGTGTACACCATAACAATCAGTTCAGAATGAATAATTGTTAGCTTTGTAGAACGTGTTTTTTAAATATTTTTTACCTTAATCAGCTCGTTTTGCAGCCTCTGTACTCTGCTCTTGTAGTCCTTCAAGTCCGTTGTCTGTTGGGCCAGCTTGTGCTTCAGGGCAGCTGAAAGAATAATAAACGTAACGCTAGATACCTCACGACAGTGACGCACATTTTGTTCTTTCGTTTAGTAAGGGTTTTACGACATCTGTAACATACTTATGTCAGATAAGTGCCGAAGATAAGAGGTGTTGCAAAAGAGTAACTTGAGTAAACACAAAAGGAAGGGATGTAGATAAGGACGATATATGTTTGATAGGAATAAAGTAGCAAACCACACCAGAGCATCCACCAACCACCCATCTTTCAATGTTTGTTGGAAATGTATGTGTAACCTTCATTGTAATCGAAAGTTCAAGAACGGCAGAAAAAAATACTTGTGCTATGTTGTAGTATTCCTGTAAGCCAGTGTTTACATCTTCATGTGAACATGGGGACTCTTGTCGTTAAGACATTCATCATGTTGTATATGACTATATGACTTCCTGTTTGCGCTGTAACTAAAGCGAAGACACACTAACCACTCACACACTTTATGGAATGAATAAAGAAAGAAAGGAATGTTGGGCCCTCCCCCCTCCCCGCGCTTTCCAAAATCATCCCTTAC